GATTGATGACAGCATCAAAAGTAACTCCTTTGGGCTGACTGGAAAGCAGACAGAGATACACAGTCAACTTACCTAGAAGGCCACTGTGGGATTTGAGAAACCTAACCTGAGTGTGTCAGGTGAAAATTCTCAAGTTTTTAGCATATTCACATGATGTAACTCTCTACATAAGTGTATACATACATACCCATATGCACAAACATGAGACCACACACACACACACACACACACTGGTCCGCCCACACCCATGGAGTTGCTCTGGGTACCATTACCATGTTTTCAAGATGTCATGAAATGAGAAAATGAGGACTGGGTTAGAAAGCATGGCGTTAACGGTTTAACGTGACTTTCCAATACAAGCTCGTGCGTTACAGCTTCAGTACCTAGTCGGTGGCAGTTTCTGTGGGTCCTAGAAATTTTAGGGAGTGGGTCCTCGGGTGTCTTGTCCCTGCCCCTTCCCCCGCCCGGTCTCATCCTGTCTCCCGCCTGCCACACGTGTTCCTGCTCAGGCCCATGGCGGCAGAGTGACCATGGGCTGGACCTTTAGAACCGTGAGCCGCAGTAGCCCTGTCCCTCTCTAAGCTTTTCTATCACGTGTTCTGGGCACACTGACCAAAAAAAAAAAAAAGCTAATTTAGCCCTAAACGTAGTGCCGCCGCTGTAACTACCCCCCGAGTGTGGGGAGCTGGGCTGTGGGAAGACTTTGGAAGTTTGGGCCGGAGAAAGCCTGGGATTCTGTGCGTGGAGCTTAACGGACGACTCTGGGGGACACGCAGATCAGAATGCCCACGGGAGCACAGGGAAGGCGGGGGACTGTTGGAAATCAGGAAATGCATGCTACATTTTTTTGGGAGATAATTTGTCTGAATTCTTCTTCCAAGTCTTAAAACTTTGAAGCTAAGTTTTAAAGCAACTATTTTGGTGGAGGAAATTTCAATATAGCATGGCACTCTGACTGAAACCTGGCTTTTTCTGCCTGCTTCTTAACTGCGTTTGCAGTGAGAATTGGGAACAAAAGGCTGAGCAGAAGGGTTTGAAAACTGTATAGTCTGGCCTAAAAAGTAGTGTGGAAAGTTGTATACATAAAGAAATGGGTGGCATTGTCAGAGGAGCCAAGCTCTGTTTACTGGGTCAGTAAGAGGCATGCCTTAAGAGCATGGGTATTGCACAGGGTGGGGGGGGGGCGTTGTGCAGCACACACCTTTAATCCCAGCACTCAGGAGGTAGGACAGCTAGGGCTGTTACAGAGAAACCCTGTCTCCTCACAAACAAAAACCAAAAAACAAGAAAAGAAAAGAAAAAGAAAACCAAACCCAAAGACCATGTCTATTAGTCAGGGGTCTCTGGAAAAGCAGAACTTATAGAATATATATCTATATCTATACACACATGTACATATTGATGTGTTGGTATATATATATATGTGTGTGTGTGTGTGATATATGTGTGTGATGTATACAGTGACTCTGTGTGTGTGTGTACATATATATGGGCAGATTTATTAGAATGACTTACAAACTTGGGTCCAGATAATCCAGCAATGTCTGATTACCTACAGAAGGTTCAAAAATGCGGTATATGTTTAGTCCATGAGGCTGGGTGTCTCAGCTAGTCTTCAGAAAATGCAGGAATCCCAAGGAAGTAGGCCCTCATGCCAGAGAAGGAATAGACTTGCTAGCTAGAGCGAGGGCAAGCAGGCAGAGAGAGAGCTAGCTGCCTTCTTCCGTATCCTTTATACGGGCTGCAGACAGAAGGTGTGGCCCAGATTAAAGGTGGATCTTCCCACCCCAGGGATCGGGTTTAAACATTTATCTGGATCTTCCCACCCCAGAGATCGGGTTTAAACATTTATCTTCCCGCGTCAAAGATCTGGGTTAGAAGTGACCCTCCCACTTCACTTCAATGACTGGTGCGCCCAGTCTTTCGGGTTTTAGTTAATTACAGATGTAGTCAAGTTGACGACCAAGAGCAGCCATCACAGTGTGGAAGGTACTGGCCAGACCCAACCACAGCTGTCCAGGATGTAAAACTGAAAACCCATTTAAAAGACTTTGTGGTGGTTTGAATGAAAAAGACCCCCATAGGCTGAAAGGCACTTTGAGGAGGTGTGGCCTTGTTGGAGTGGGTGTGGCCTTGTTGGAGGAGGTGTGTCGGTAGGGGTGGGCTTTGAGGTCTCATATATGCTGCCTGCTGTTCCAGATGTTGACCTCTCAGCTGTTTCTCTAGCTCCAACCACATCTGCCCGCGTGCCACCATGTTCTGCCATGATGATAACGGACCAACCCTCTGAAACTGTAAGCCAGCTCCAATGAAATGTTTTCTAAGAGCTGCTGTGGCCATGGTGTCTCTTCACAGCGGAACACTGGCTAAGGCAGGGGTGGATTTTTTTTAATGGAGTCTCATGTATCCCAGGCTGGCCTCAGATTCCTTATGCAGTCAAGGGCGGTTTGAATTCCTGATGTTCCTGCCTCCGTCTCCTAAGTTACTAGGGTTATAGCTGTGTACCATCATGTTGTGCAATGCTAGGAATTAACTCCAGGGCCTTCGTGTCTTCCAGGCAAACACTGACTAGCTGAGCCATGTGGCTAGCTTGAATACAAATGTCCACGACAGGTTCCTGTGTTAAAGCCTGGCTAGTGACATTGGGTCCGTTGTGTAAACCTGGGAAGTGAGACCTGTCTGGAGGAAGTAGGCCGCTAGGGCGGGTCCTTGGGATGCCCTGTCCCTGGTGCCCGACCGACTGCCCCTTTCTCTGTTTTCTCTCCTGCCACGATAGAAGCTGCCCCTCAGTGTTGTCTCCACCATGAGGGGCGGAAGTCACGCGTCTCAAGTTGTTCTCTCATAACATGAGTCTGTAGAACTAGGGACTTCTAGTCTGGGATCTTTCTAGCCAAGGAGACACGGGAAGGGCAGGTGCCTCAAAGTCACAGGGGTGTGGAAGAGTCGTCAGGCCAGCAGGAAAGGGAAGAGCCAGCAGAGAGAAGCAAAGGGAGGAAGGAGAGCCGCCATCATGGAGGATAGTTCTGTCCACACGGGCAGAACTTCCATCTGGACCTACAGAGCTGGCCTCCTGTCCTGCTGCTCCCACGAGCAAAGAGCCTGGAAGCTAAAAGCTGGCCTTGTTCTCCCCACGCCAAGGGGGCTGAGCCGTATGCCACCCATGCCACCACCTCCATCATCAGTGCACGTGGGCCTGCCCACGTAGCACAGGCTGACCCTTACAGAATCGGTCCCCTGTGTTGTTCAGACCGCAGCCACAGTCGGAAATGCAGCCGATGTGTGCATCCCAGACAGGGGATCTGGGAACGGAAGCCGCAGGGCAAACGCCTCCTACTGCAATCCAAAATCCCACTCAACCCCACTAAGTGCTCATGACCGTGACTGAGCTGAATGGCGCCTTCTGTGTGAGCAACACGTGCTGAGAAGCTTTTTGAGACAGAGGGATGGAATCCTATGTCCTGTGTAGCCTGGGTTGGCCTGTGATGGGGTGGACTTGAACTCCTGCCTCTGGCTCACGGGTGCTATAACTGCACCCAGCCTGAACTCTTTGCTTACCTGGGCAAGCGGCTTATGGATACATTTGGGGGTACCACCTGTCTCTGGCACCGGAGACTGCCCGTGAACAAAGTACTCACACAACCAAGATTTGTGGTCTGTGCAAGCCTGGTGCTTCCTGCCCCCAGCGGCTTTAGGTTACTCTGTTTCTCAGTTACTGCCCCTGCCGCAGATCTCCTTGCTGCCTACAGAAGCCCCAGGCTTCCAGCAGGACTCAGCACGGATGGCCTCTGCAGAAGAGCCCGGAGTGCCTGCAGGCAAGAAACTGGCCGTGCCAGCAGCCGGGTGCGCTGTGACCGTCAGAGCTGCAGCATCGGCAGTAAGGCTGCAGTGATGCACTCGTCGGCACGCGTCTGCGCACGAGCACTGTTCCGCACCCTTCCTCCGGGATCACACTCGACACAGGAGTGTGGCCAGCGACCTCAGGCCGTTTACACAGCCTGGCCCCAGTGTACCCCGCTGCACCAGGACCTCGGAAGCCCTGTTTTGTTGTCTTGTCTTGTGTAATGACTAATTTTGATCATTAGCATGGTTGGATTAGGAGCGTTAACAGGGTGCCCCTCTGGGCGTGTCTTCACTCATGTTTCCAGGGGCTTAACTGAGGAGGGAACTGCTTACATCCACCCTGATGTAAGCAGGACCCTCCCGTGGCTGGGTTCCCAGACTGGACAAAGCGGGCAGAGGAAGATGCCCCTGAGCCCGGCATTCCACTTTCCCCGGCTCCTAGTCCACTGGACATGAGGACTGCACCATGCCGTCCCCACCTCGGTGGCCTGTGCCCTCTCCCATAAGTCACTTTCCGTCAGGCGCTCAATCACAACACCAAGGAAAGTAGCTAAGGATCATGAGATTTTTCCTGTGCTATGGGCAAGCACTTGAAAGGTTTGCCTTTAGTCATTTTGTTGATTATTTAGGAGAGAGAGACAGAGAGAGGGAGAGAGAGAGGGAGGGAGAGAGAGAGACAGAGAGAGAGCGAGAGAGACAGAGAGAGAGCGAGCGCACAGGAGCGCACCAGAGGAGAGGACAACCCTGGCTATGACCCTTGGAGTTCATCCACTATAACATTTTCACATGGTGTCGGGGAGCTGCGGGAGCCCTGTGCCTGCCAGGCAAATGATTTATCAGCTGATCCTTCCTCTCAGTATCTTTGTTTCATTTTTTTGAGACAGGGTCTTATGTAGCCCAGGCCAGACTCAAACTCATTCTGGAGCCCAGGATAACTTTGAACTCCTGGTGCTCTTGCTGCCGCCTTCCAACTGCTTGCTCTACTAGATGGACACTTCATAGTCTCTTATTACCAGATTTGACCTGGGAGTAGGAACTCACTGATTCTGGTCATTTTAGAAGCTTTCAGCTTTCCCACAAAGTCATGTAAAAAAAAAGTGCGAGCTGAATTCAGGATGAGCTTAGTGTGGCTGGCCCTCAGTTTTCTGCTCTTTTTGCAGGTTGCCCGGCTCATGGAGATGGGATTTTCCAGAGTGGATGCCTTGGAGGCCCTGAGGGCCTCAAACAACGACCTCAACGTGGCCACCAACTTCCTGCTGCAGCACTGACATTCAGCCCGGCTGTGGAGCGACAGTGCTGTGTCCCTGCCACCACACCAGCCTGAGGACCAAGCAGACTCCAGTGCACACGGCCTCAAGAGGAAAGGTGGTCCCCGCCATACACTGTCCGTAGCTCCAAGATGGTTACCATTGTAGTATCAGATACGTTTGCCATTAAATTAGCATGTATTTTCTATCTTTATTTTTTTACTGGGCCTTTCTCAGTTTGGAGAAGCGTCACTCCTAACATGTTTGTGTGCATGGCAGTCGCAGGTTTCCGCGGCCGTTTTATAGCACGCAGACGGGCGACTGTCAGGATGCTCGCGTGAGCAGGCTGCTTGTCCTGGTCTCAGTAGAGGGGGGGCGGGTCACGTGACCTCCGACAGGATGTGTCACACTGCTCGGTGTGGACTGTTGTTTCCCTTCCTTTCTCGTTCACATCCCAGTGGCTGTCCTGCGCACACTCCCCACACGCTGGGCGTGTCCTCCAGGCCTCGGGGAGGGAGGAAGCAGGAGACAACCCTCCCGTACCCCCCCCACCCCGCCTAGGGACTCTGTCCCAACTCCTCCCTGCTTTCAGTAAAGATGACAGTCCAGTGCCAACTTGAGGGTCTGGAACGCTGCGCAGTATTGTAAGTGGGGTTCACTTTGCTCAGAGTGCCCTACCGTGGCCGTCAGGCTGAGGGGTGAGGTGAGCAAGAGAACAGCCGCTTTCTAGACCTTGTGCGGCCTGTGCAGAGAGCTCAGGGCGGGCTGGCGTGCTCAGCCCCAGAAGAGGAGAGGAGAGCAGAGCCACTTACCCCGGCCTGCCCCACTGGGCTAACCTGCTGGCCCTTAGCACACACCGCCAGCTCTCCTGGCGGCAGATTCCCTGGCCCCGTCCTCGCCCCCTTGTGGGGGGGTAGGGCAATACCCACTGCGGGACACAGTCAGGGAGGTTTAGGCCGGAGGCAGCCCACCGTGAGCAAGAACAGTTCTAGGAGTTGACTGTGCTATAGGCAAACTGCACTGGGCGTGTCCTGGGGTCGTGTTCTGCAAAATGAGCAGCAATGTGTCAAATTGATGCAAATTTAGGGGTGTGATACTTACAATAAAGTTTTTATGGGTTTTACTTTTCAGTCATTTTTATTTGCCGTCCCTAAGTAAAGCTTTATTCTAGGCAATGCCACCAAAAAGGAAAATGGAGCCAGACTAACCAGGTTTCTTGAGAAGGCTGAGGGCCTGTGCAGTGAGTGTTCCCTTCTGTCTCTGCAACGCATTGTCACCATGGGCAACGCTGACTGCTGTCACTGCACCGAAGCCTGGGACCCTGCCGCTCAGAGCAGGGTTAGGTGGCTCTGCAAGCCTAGCTGTTGCCACCCACCAGCTCAGTCTGTGAGGACAGTGGCTAGGGCCGTGTGAAGGCAGAGTGTAAAGTGGGACACTCGGAGACCCAACCTCCATTAGCTGCTGAGACGGGGAGCCACGGTCCACATAGACACTCACACACACGCACGCACGCACGCACGCACACACTCACATACACACTCACACACACGCACACACACGCACACACGCGCACACACACGCACGCGCACACACACTCACATGCACTCACATACACGCACACACTCTCACATACACTCATACACACATACATTCATATTCACACACTCACATGCACTTGCACACACATACACTCTCACACTCACACACTCACATACACACTCATTTTGCACACACATACACTCTCACACTCACACACATTCATACACACACGCAGACATACACACAGTCAAATGCACTCACACACATACATTCATACTCACACACATACACTCAGACACATTCATACACACAGACATTCACACGCAGACACACACATGCATTCACACTCACACTCACATACACGCATTTTCATATTCACACTCACATGCACTCACACACACATACACTCTCACACTCACATACATTCATACACACGCAGTCACATACACTCACACACATACATTCATACATACACACTCACGCACGCGCACACACACACACACACGAACAGTCATTTGGTTTCCTCACCTCCCTCAGTTACCCATCAAGGAAAAGCAAGCCTTTCCCACAGCTGCAGCCTCACTGCTAAGGGCTCCCTGCTAACTGGGACTGTGTTTCAGAGAGATCCCGTCCTGCCCCAAGAACCCTCCATTTTGGTCCTGCAGAGGGTTGACAGCCAATGACATCCCCTGCTGAGAGTCAGTCGGCGCAGCTGCCAGACACTCATCTCCCGTTATCGCCACCTTTCAGGTTCTCACTCATGCTCAGCCTGCCTTGTACTCCTGTCCCACGCTCTGCCCTAGGGTGCCACTCCTGCCCCGCTCCTGCCTCCCGCACATGGCGGTGGCGGCGAGTGCAGCCTTCCCTGGCGGGACTTTGAATGCCTGAGAGCATCTCCACCTGGTCAAGATACCTGGAAATCTTTGGGGTCCACGGCACCCCCAGAGGGAGGCCTCAGTTGGTGATGCCTGCCACAGGGAAGCATCGATTGGCAAGCTATTTGACTGGGCCTAGAAAACAAGGCTGTTGACTTTGTGCAGATGGTAACAGGTTGCCCGTTTTCAGGCAAACACATTCCAGACTGAGATAGGAAAGGAGTGGGGGAAAGTTATCCACAGTGAATGAATACATCCTTCTCTGGCTGTACCAACTGCTTGGTGCTGTTGACAAAACAGCTGTCGAGAGCAGCTTCCGTGTGTTCTGCCTCTCGGTTTGGGGAGAGGAAGGCACGGTTGTAGGAGCAGAGGGCAGCTGGTTATGCTGCCTGGTTGCCTTCAGGAAACGGCGGCGGAAAGCTGGTGCTTAGCTCCCTCTGCTTTTCCCAGCCCAGAGGCGTTCCCACGATGATTCCAAATCTGCACACGTCACCAAGGAAAATTGGCTATCATGACAGCTAAGAAAACTCCGAGGTCCCAGTTTAACCAGACAGCATAGGATTAGAAAACAGCAACTTGGGGGCAAACCGAACACAAAACAGTTAGCACCAGTGTCACCTAGAGTGTTTTCTTGTTAGCACATGTCATCAAGAATGCTTTCTAGGTCTCCCGGTTTATGTGCCCACAGTTGTTGTTAAATTGAATGGAAGTATTTGAAATCATAAACCAGCGTTACACGGCTAGCGAATGGTGTATCGTTTGTGAGATTACTTTCATTCGGGGCCCCTGACACATGCAGTGTTTTAGGAATGGAGGCGCAGACCCAGAACGTTGGGCTAAGATTGGTCCCAAAGAAAATTTTAGTTCTGAAACTGAAATCCTAGGTGAGGGGAGCTAGAATCAGGTGAGTTTATGAAACTCCTTGAGAGAGCTTTGTCCAGCAGAGAGCCAATCCCGATGGCGAGATTTTGACACCACCCTCACCCAGTAGGGATAGGGACCAAGGCAGAGACTGGGCTAGAGTTGCTTCCTTAGGAGAGATTGCCTGCTAGATTCGGGATACCGTGCGGAGAGAGGTGAGCTGCAGAGCTGGGCTGGTCAGGGACAGGCAGTGTGAGAAGCAGGTAATGGCGTCCCAGCACTAGGAACTCTGGGGGAGGCTGGGGTCAGCAGAGGGCAGCCCCTGTTGGGCAGGTAGGGGAGTCTAAAGGACAAAGGGGAAGACCCAGGCAAGGGGGGGCAGCATGGTGGCAGCAGCTCCTGGGGGCAAGAGCTGGCCTGTGAGGGAAGCCAGGCAGTAGGGGTGCAGAAGTGGGAGGGAGAAAGGGTCACACAGACTTTAAGATCCAGGCCCAAAAGTGGTATCAGGAGGAACAGGGGTGGGGCGTGGGGGGTGGAGTCCTTTGTCTCCAGAGCTACAGAGAGGAGGGGAGCTAGAATGAAGCATACACTGGGAGGCTGGTGCAGGGCTGTAACCCCAGTGCTGGGGAGGCTGGGGAGGCTTGCCCCAAGCTGGGGTGGGGGGTGGGGGGGGATCCTGGGCTACAGAATGAATCCCAGGCAAGCCTGGGCTAGAGTGAGACCCTGAGTCAGGAAATGGAGGGAGGGAGGGGCAGGGAGGGAGGGAGGGAGGGAGGGAGGGAAATTGGAAAGGCTCCTTACATTTCCTATTTCGCAGGGAAGAGGCCCTGGGAACCTGAGGAGAACATGGAGGAAAGCCCAGGGACCCATGCTGTCAATCAACTCTAGCGCCCTAGTCTGGCACTGTGGTCTGGAAGTTTCAAAGGCCTTAGCGATTCCGGGAGTTCTAAGAAACTTCCAAGGATGTTCTGAGCTACTCGGGAGTTTGAGGAAACATGGGCTGAGAGGGAGAAGGGGAGCCCCGACCCTTGAGGAGTGTGGGAGATGGGGGTCCCACAGACATCCCCTCAACCAAGCACCTGTTTTTCTAGGTCCCCGGAGGTGCAGGCTGGCCCTTACCCAAATGCTTGATGACTCTGAGGAGCTGTCTCCAGCTGAGCTGACCCAGACACTCCAGGGCCACCACCTTTACCAGAGCAAAGTGTAGTGGTGCCCCACTGCAGAGGCTCCTAGGAGCCATAGTGACACACACACACACACACACACACACACACACACACACACACACACTATGGTGATGTCTGGTCTCACTTTCAGGTACACAGTGTTTGAGCTAAAAAGGCCTTTCTTATGTGAGCCATGCTTTCCGAGTGAGAAGTCGGGGTCCAGGTGGGCAAAGGGAGCCTGGTCAGCTAGCTTGAGGCTGGGGTCTGCTCCCCCGCAGCCTTGCCTTCCTGAGCCCCTCCCCGGCTGCCCCGCCCTCACCACAGCCATGCCACTCCCTTCTGCTGGCGCATACGTGAGTAAAAGAAAGGACCTCCTTGGGGACTGTCTCCACGCTCACCCATACCAGGCCTGAGAGCAATGCAGGCCCTCTGTGCTGGCCCTCAGCTGGCTGAGGGCACCCCAGGGGAGCAAGGCCACCTGTCATCCCATGAGGCCAGTGTCTTTCTAAACCCATTAGCCCGCGCGCAGCAAGTGTCCCCGGCACTGCCGTCACACAGCTCTGTAAGTACGGTAGCGAACTAGGTGGCAGGTGTTCTCCTAGGATGACGTCCCTGACTTCCTAACTAGGGTTGAAGGCTATGCAAGGTCTCAAGATTGGCGCTGAGTATACATTTGACCTGCTGGGAACATTCCTTCCCTGGGGAAATGTGAACAACATCCACCCCGTCCCGCTAATGTCTCAACAACAAACCAAAGTACAGTTCTACTGAAGGCACCCTAGGGAACCAAGGAGTTTGTTACAGAGCAGGGATGAGGGGTTACTGACGAAAAGTGTGACAGGAGTTACTGAGAGTCGCTCCACAGAAAGTCTTCACCCAGCATGAGCGGATGGCTAACCCTTAGGGGTACCGACGAAGGCTCCTTACCCTGTCCTTAGAGCCTGTAGCCTATATTCTTCCATAAGGCATGTGCCATTAGGGCAGAACTAAACACAAATGGCTGGCTGGGAGGGGTGGCCAGAGAGGTGAGGGTCCAACAACCTTCCCTGCCCGCTCCTTCTCGGGAGAGAGTCGGAGGTTCACAGCCCAGGATCTGACGGACGCTTTCAAGCAGACACAGCTGATCTCATGAAGTTTAGCTCAGAAGATACTCCCTTACGAAGGCTCCTGTAAAGGTGGCCATTTGGTACCTCGGGACAGAGGACTGGTGTGCACATTCAGGACTTGAGGCAGATGGTATCAAGACCAGTAAGTCTTTGCGATCCCCTGAACGTTGGCCAGGAACAAACCCTAGGCTCAGTTAAGTGCAGAGGACCGGGGATGTTAGGTTGTCCCTGTAACCCCACCCTAACCTGCCAGCCACTGTTGGGTAACCCCGTTCCCTGTAAAGGGAGGGGTTGATGTGCAGGAAGAAGAAGATACAGTTAGCTAGCCGGAGGGCTTGTCCACGCCAAGCCTCTAGCAGAGAGGGGACGCCAAGTCCATGCCTCCTCCCACCCCATGAGAGAAGGGAGCTGCAGCTCAGACGGCAGGAGCAGCCTGAGCCAGAGTTTGGTTATTTTAAAAGGTGCTCAAGAAGAGGCCTGGCGAGGCGGGTAAGAGCCCTTGCTGCCGAGCCTGATAACGCGAGTGTCACCCCAGGACCCACGTGGTGTGAGGAGAGAATCAGCTCCCCAAAGTTG